CCACTTGAAATTGAACCGTCTCTGTTAGACATTCCAAATCTAGTTCAATATTTGCATCACGTGTGTACACTCGTGTATCACTCATCTTGAATTTTTCTCTCTATTAGTCTCACCACTCTGCATTTTTCTACTCATTACTTTCTTGCAAGTGCTTCAAAGAATTAATTCGATCTTAGTCAAAATTTAACCCATGTGGAGTCCAAACAAAGAATTGAGTAAGAAAGTAATCTATAATGACTCAAGAAGGTAGGAATTTGAACTTGAATGAAACGTTAAAGGATGAATTCAAGAAAGTATTTTTCACTTTGGATGGACACTTTTGAATTTGGAATTTTTTTGACTTAAAATGATCGATGGAAATTTCTTTTCTGAATTTTTTTTTTGCTCGAAAACTCAACTAGATACCAGCAAAAGAAACATAAACTGATTTGGATACTAGATTAAAAAACAAACAAGTTTTGAAATATTTTTTTTTTTTTGGTATTTTACGGATTGGAGATTCAAAGAATATGAAGAACAAGAGACTCAAACAAAAAAGAAAAAAATATATGATATAACCTTGATTTTTAGAGTCTTGCTCTGATACCAACTGATGTGAACCCACGTAGCAATTGTAGCTACAGAACCCACGATAAATTAGAACAATCCAAGAAAGCCAATAATTAACGTTTGAAAAGTTCGACCTAATAAATTATTGAATCAAGAATCAAGACAATCGCCAACAATATCTTGATCAGTGATCACAAAACTTATGAACCTTACTTGGAATTTGTAGAATGCCATAAAAAATTAATTTTTGATAAATTCGAAATTAATTTAATGATGAACAAGAAGAAAATAAATTTGCCTTGCAATGATTTCTCAATAATTGTGTATTTTAAAATGAATAGAATGAGTCATTTATAGAGGACCCATAAAATCTAGCTAAAAACGGTATTTAAGTCTTAAAGATATCAAAAATCTACCATATAAGAGTTTTAACTAAAATATAAGATTACACGAAAATTGGAAAAGTGGCCGCATAGGTGTATTTCATGCGGTTGCATAGGCCAGCATTTCTCCCTCATTTGGTCGGTATAGGTTCATGCGGTCGCACATTTCATACAGCTATGCCATCACATAGTTGTTAGTATTGCCTACAAGTTTTGAGTTCTTGATTCCAAAGCATTCTAACTTGTTTCCACTCCCCCCAACATAGAACTTGGTCTTTTGCTTGTCAACTTCACCCTCTTGAACTCCATAGCTTGAACGAGTGATTTCATGATTTTATTGACTCTATTTGATCTCGAATTTTCCCTTAAACTCTTTTCAACATACATCGAACCCTTGATAGTTTGTTGCCTTCCTTGGATAACATCAATATGAGTAGGAATAGTATAACAGAGTTAAGTAGGAAGGGACTTCTTGATGGATAGAAGACCAGTAAGATAAAGGAAAATAGAAAAATGTCAGATTCTCTAAAGGAAGACACAACACGAAGGGAACACTTGAATATATCCATACAGATCTTTCAGGATCGGCTATGGTGCCTTCAAAAGGATGAGTTGATTACTTGTTGATAGTGATTTATGATTTCTACAAGAAAGTTTAGATATTCTTCTTGAAATAGAAGAGTGAAGTGTTTGGGACCTTCAAAGAATGGAAAACAATGATAGAAAAACAGACTGGAAAGCAAGTGAAATGTTTACACAGATAATGGGTTGAAGTTTTGTTCAGATGAATTCAATAGCTTCTGTATGGTTGAATGCATCTTGAGACACTTGACGATGCCTAGAACTTCTCACCAAAATGGTGTGGCAAAATGGATGAATAGAACCTTGATGAAAAATATTCGTTGTATGTTTTCAAATTTTAGGTTGCCCTAAGACTTTTTGGGCTGAAACTACTACTACAACTTGTTTTCTGATTAATTGATTACCCTCAGTTGCCATCGAAAAAAGACATTAGAAGATGTATGATATGCTAAACCTTCTTATTATTCTGATTTGAAGATTTTTTGCTGTCCTGCTTATACTTATGTGGATAATGAGAAGTTGAAGCCTAAGTTTAGAAAGTGTATTTTTCATAGGCATAAACCTTGTGTGAAGAGATAAAAATTATGGTGTCTTGGGACAAGAAAGGTGGTGGTTAGTAGAGATGTGGTATTTGACGAACTTGCTATGGTTTATGCTTCACCTTGTGGGGATTCTAGTAAAACTGAGGAACAAAACCATTCAACTCAAGTGGAGTTGAAAGGTGGTCCTGATGAATAATTCGAGGTTTCAAAATAGTCTACTTCAGATTAGTTTAGTTTAAAGCTGACGATAGTAACATTTTACCTATATCACCAGCAACACCACAATATTCTATTGCTAAGGATATACCTTGAAGATATATTAGACCCCCGGAGAAGTATGGAGAATCAGATTTGGAAGCTTATGCATTGAGTGTGGTTGACAGTTTTGATTAATTGATGAGCCACTACATATTCAAAGGCAGATAGTTACAACGATTCTAGCATATGGTTGATTGCTATACATGAAGAGATAGAGTCATTGAATAAAAATAATACTTGGGATTTGGTGAAATTATCTAACTATAAAAAAGTTGTTCGCTGCAAGTGGGTATTCAAAAGGAATGAAATGACATCAGGAATTGAAGATACCAGATTGGTAACAAAGAGCTACAGTCAAATTCCAGGTGTTAACTTCACAGATATGTCTTACTTGGGGTTGTGGTTAAGAATGACTCTGACATTGAGCAGATGGAAGTTAAGACATCATTCTTACATAGAGAACTTGAAGAGAGCATTTACATGCAACAACAAGACAGTTTCATAATTTCTAGAAAGGAAAACTATGTATGCTTATTAAATAAGTCTTTGTGTGGACTGAAGCAGTCACCAAGACAGTAATATAGAATGTTAGATTCATTCATGACTACTTATAATTTTATTAGACGCAGTTGTGATAGTTGTTCTACTTCAGAAAAAGGAGATGGTAGATTGATTACATAAATGTTGTTATATATTGATGATATGCTTTTCGCAACCAAGGAAAAAGTAGAGATCAGAAAGTGAAAGCTCAGATTTGTGAGGAGTTTGAGATGAAAGACTTGGGTGCTGTAAGGAGGATTTTTGGAACAGAAACTTTGAGGGATAAAAATGCTGGTAGATTGTATTTGACTTAGAAGTAGTACATTGAGACGGTTCTTCAAATGTTCAATATGCTGAATGCTTAAGCTGCAAGTACTCCCTTGGTTGCCCACTTTATATTATCATTTGGCTTGTGTCCTCAGTTAGATGAAGACATTGATCATATGTTTCAAGTTCATTATTTCAGTACAGTTGGTTTACTTATCTATGCTATGGTTTGTACAAGACCAGATTTAGCACAAGTAGTTGGTAGATACATCACAAATCCTGGCAAGAAAAATTGGATAGCAATGCAGTTAACATTCAAATACTTGACTGGCTCTTCTAATGCTTGCTTGCATTTTGGTAGAAATACATATGGAATCATTAGATATGTGGATTTAGATTATATAGGAAATCATGATAAAAGGAGATTACTTACCGGGTATGTGTTTACTCTTATAAACTGTGCTATCAGCTAGAAATCTACTTTGTAGAATGTAGTAGTTTCGTCTACAACAGAAATAGAGTACATGACCACTACAGAGGCATGAAAGAAGGTTATGTGGTTAAGAGGATTGATTTGTGAAATTAGTGAAGACTTGCAGATTTCTGCAGTGTATTGTGATAGTGTAAGTGCTATTTTTCTGACTGAGGATAAGATGTTTCACGAGAGAACTAAGCACATTCATGTGATGTATCATTTTGTGCATGATGTGATTGCTAATGGTGGTATTGTAGTGAGCAAGGTTGATACTAAAGATAATTCTGCTAATATGATGACAAAATCACTTCACATTGCTAAGTTTGAGCATTGTTTGAACTTAGTTAGTGTTTGTCATTGATTTAGTCCACTAGGGCATGTTTGGAAGAGGTGGAGTGGTGTTTACTTGAAAATGTATTTTTTGTATTCCTTGTGTTGGAATTTGATTCAAGGTGGAGATTTATAGTGGTATGACCCAAATTCCGTTTAATTTGGTATTTATTTGGGAAAAGAAAATTTGAAGAGTTTTGGTTTGATAGTCCTAATTAATAAAGATCAAATTTTATCAAGGATTGTGAGTTTAGCTTGGAAAATGATTTTGAGATGAAGAAAAACTTTGGAGAAAAACTTGATGCATCGTAGCTCCCATGTAATTGGATAGAGATAGGCATGGCGTCAATGAGTCGTGGCGCCTGTGCCCCTGTTACGAAATTTTCCCCGAGCGCTGTAGCACCAACCCTGGTGTCGAGGCGCCACCGTGATGGGTTAATCTCAATTTTTTTGAATTTTATGTATTCTTCTCCTATATATATTCAGCATTGTTGTATTTCTATAGTATAATCAACATCTTGAGAGTTAAAGAGCTTAGATTTCAATTGAGAGTATTG